TGTTTACATATTACTACTTTTATGACGAATTATTTCGCATTTAGGTTTACTTTCATTAGGGAACAAGTAGCGAACATTCTCTAAAACTTTTATTTAAACATTATAAAATGCATGTTTTCTCTTTCTAAGGAAATAAAATTTATTCGTGTCTGAGGCATAATGTGCCTTTAAGTATGTAATATTTACATAAAAGTAAGAAATATTACATACCTATTTAACAACAACGCAAATAAAAGCGTATGTTGTGCCACGAGGGTACGCTGCAAAACCGAAAAGTAGGGTGTTTTTATGAATTTTACATTTATTTTTGACAATATACTGGCATTTGTCCGAATATGATATGTAAATGAACATATTAAATATGTATAATGCATATATAATCAAGCCCACGGTTCATTGCAGCCCGAAAAGTATGTCGAGGGTGATGGGCGAGGCAAGACATGTCGATTTTTTGTAGCTTATTGTGAAGTTGCAGTACATGAAAAACGGGCACATGACAAATCAGCACATAAATAAAACATTTTAGTGTTCCGTGGTATATATCTTTTGTACGTGTCAAACCCCCTTTCCTTATTACATTGAAATTTTACTGGATTGTTATCCATCGCTGGTTTGTTTTTTAGCAGAGAATGACCTGTGCATGTGTAAAGAGGGTACCGTTTTGAGCAGATTTCGCAAAGAGGGTACCGATATAGATATGCACCGTGGTGTAGCTTTAGGACGAATGATTTCATAATATTAATTGATGAGTACATAAATAAAAAAAAATGTACAAAAATGGTCCCAAGAAATGGTTATAAAATGAATATTGCATGTTTGGCTGAAGATGCCTTTTTAGTAGTTTTCTTTAATTATGGGCGTTCATGATATTGGGAATGTTATAGCAGATCTTACTCATTTAAAACAAAAAAGTTTTATACCTTAAGGCAATAGTATTTGCAATACAAACACCACTGAGAATGTAGGAAAAAAATGTTTATTAATATCTTCTATGACAAACAATTCATTTGATTTTATAACCATTTCTTGGGACATTTTTTGTACATTTTGTGTTTATGTACTCATCAATTAACATTATGAAATCATTCGTCCTAAAGCTAAACTCTCACAGATTGACAGACTAGACAGTTTTGCCTTTTTTCCTTCTTTTTTTCTCAGAATCAGCTGATTTTGGCAGCAGTTTATGTGTTAAAAATGAGAGGGTGCCTGTGATATAAAAATTCAAATGAAGAGAGGTAGCCCGTGCCGCAGCAAAAGAAAAAAAGGCAAAACTGTCTAGTCTGACAGACTAGACAGTTTTGACATTTTTTTTTTTTTTCTCAGAATCAGCTGATTTTGGCAGCAGTTTCTTCAGTTTTAAGCTGACACTGTGAACAAGAACCTTGGCCGTATTCATAAAGCATCTTAGTGAATAATTTCAACTTAGTGAAAAAAGACATTTTTTGGACAAGTTGAATTTAAAAAATCTAACGTGTGTACAAAATTAGTTTGAAAATAGGCAAGAAAATGTCCTAATTAATAAAAACACATTAAAAATGTTGTGGATGGTCACAGGTATTGGAAATAAGCCATGTCAATATAACTATAGTTTAGCTTACTTTTCTCACTGATTCATTATTGATTATGGCCCAAGCACTTTGAACAATGTTGAACAACTGTTCTATTTTATAATTGTTGATGAAAAAATAAATTCTAAAACCATTGATTTGGAAATGTGCAACTTGTCATTGTCAGCTGGAAATATAATTTGACCTACAGAGTTTCATTAATAAATATAATCAAAGTGCTGCAGCACTGAATGCGACGGACATGCAACCGGAGAGACATTAAGGCTTCTTTTAGAAAAAAAAAAACAAAAACAAAACACAAAATATATAACAGAGAAAATTTGTTCCATACAAGTTCGAGATTTGTAGAGCAATATATATTGTGTCCCAAATTGATATAATTCAGATTTTCGATTTCAAGCACTTAAATACAGAATGAAATTTATGCCTAAAAACTCTGGTCAAACTTGTAAATCAGTGTCCTTATCGATTTATTCTAAGAAATGATATGTAAATAGAAAAAAAAACTATCAACGAAATATTTCTAGAATAAATCCAGGCAAATAAACTTCAAACATAATACATTATACATTTGAGAATGCTATTTAGAATTGCTTCGTGTTATATCATAGTGGGCATACAGACAATAAAATATAAGTCATTTGTATTTTTATTTCTCTTGGATATGTCTCATTAAAAAAAAATTGGTTAAAATCATCAGCAATTAATAGTGTATTTCTTAGATTTTTTTTATTTACAAGGTAAAGATGTAGAGGCCAGAGCACATCGTTTTTATTTTAATTTAAATGTCACTTAAGCACTACAGTGTTTAGTTGTCCTTTTCAACTTCACACTAAATTCCATTTTCAACTAGTTTGCTTCTTACAATTGTATAGCATTTCTAAAAGTATTGCATTACAATCCGCTGGTTTATTAATTACATGTTTAATGTGTACTTCCTAATCGCCTGTCCAAAAATCAGAACAGGTGAAGCAGAATCTATTTTTAGAATAGCGAAGGTTAACTCATATCATGACCTAGTAAAATATGTAAACAAACCACAAGAATCGGAAGTAGAACTGATATTATAACTTCCTTACCATGAAAGACTACATGGCGGTAAAGTGTCTTACATGCATTTTCAAAAATAGATATTTATATTTACCATTGTACTGTATCTAATATATTAATAACTGCTGAATATTCAGCTAAACCCGCGGTATGAGTCACGAAAATAGTTCTTCTTTTATTAATGCGCGAGTTATCCTAGAGTCACGAAAAACTTTTGATTTGTTAATAATAATGTTTTGTATAATGTAGAAATATTTATTTCCTACTAATAATGTCTTGGAACTCAGAGGTTACACCTTTATTGTAGTATAATTTGCTGTCCTACTTTTTCGACAGCGGTAAATCGTTTCAGCAGTAATTTGCATATTGCGCAATAATACTACGGGACTACAACGTTTTTATCAATAATATACGTTCATATTTTAACTTGGATAACTTAATTTGAAATTGAAAAGGCTTAATATGGAAGACATTAAGATATCCAGACAAAGTATGGGAGTTTTGAAGGATCAAATTCATGTACTATTTCTTGGGCTGTTAATTGGTTTAGGACACATTGCGCGATAGTAGCCAACGAAATCCCATGTGTAGATGACTTAGCTCTGAACGCGCCTGAGGGCGCGTCCGTCGCAAAAATTGGTTAAATCGTTTTGTATATTTTCTCCATGAGTGCAAATGGAAATTTTAAAACAAAGGGACGTAACTTGGTAAAACTGAATCCGAACCGCAATACGGACTTTACCGAGAATATAACTGTAGCGCCACCTGTTAGCATAATTTGGGTGTCACATATTATTACACCAGATGTCGCGTTGTATTATGCTTGCTGCATTCGGCTTTCGGCTATGCGCATTCTACCTTATGACATTCGTCATTCAAGCTGAGTAAATAGACCCAAATACAAACAGTTGCAGGTTAATTTATTGAATTAATATACCAGATCAACAAATGAATAATAATTGATCGTTAAATAACGACATCAACATAAAATTAAGCAAGTCGCACACAGCAGAAAGCATAATGTGCATGTAAGAAAGCAACATGTAAAAGTCAGAATGCAAGATGTATATGTCAAAATGTATAATGTACAAGTTAGAAAGCACAATGTACAAGTTAGAAAGCACGATGTAACGTAAGAAAGCAATATGTAATTTTGGCATAAATCACCCTCCATAATTTAAGCTTTAGCTTAAACTATTAAGCTAGATCAAATTAATATGAGCAAACTTGATAAGACTACCTTATAATGCTACAAAGTTTGGTGATCATCTATCAATTATTTCAGTAGGAAATGTTCAAAGGTTTTTCTATTTTTGGCTTTAGTGGCCCCTAAAAGGGGCCACTCAAATTAATATGAGCAAACTTGATAAAAGCGTACCTAAGAATGCTACAGACAAAGTTTGGTGATAATCCATCAATTAGTTCTGTAGAAAAAGATGTTTAAAGGTATTTCTATTTTTAGCTTTAGCTGCCCCTTAAAGGGGCCAATCACGTTAATATGAGCAAACTTGATATCAGACTACCCAAGAATGCTACTGACAAAGTTTGGTGATCATCCATCAATTAGTTCTGTAGAAGAAGACATTTAAAGGTTTTTCTATTTTTAGCCCTAGAGACCCCTAAAAGGGGCCAATCAAATTAATATGAGCAAATTTGATAAAAGACTACCCCAAGAATGCTACAGACAAAGTTTGGTGATAATCCATCAATTAGTTCTGTAGAAAAAGACGTTTAAAGGTATTTCTATTTTTAGCTTTAGCTGCCCCTTAAAGGGGCCAATCACGTTAATATGAGCAAACTTGATATCAGACTACCCAAGAATGCTACAGACAAAGTTTCGTGATCATCCATCAATTAGTTCTGTAGAAGAAGACATTTAAAGGTTTTTTCTATTTTTAGCCCTAGAGACCCCTAAAAGGGGCCAATAAAATTAATATGAGCAAATTTGATAAAGGACTACAGACAAAGTTTGGTGATTATCCATCAATTAGTTCTGTAGAAGAAGATGTTTAAAGGTTTTTCTATTTTCAGCTCTGTTGACCCCTAAAAGGGGCCAATTGAAATGACATGAGCAAATTCAAGTGTGACTGTCACAAGGATGCTACAGACCAAATTTGAAGTAAATCTGCCCAGCGGTTTCAGAGAAGAAGACGATTGTTGATGCATGACGCCGGACGCCGGAGTATCCCCCTTTGATACTAATAGCTCACCCTGAGCCTTCGGCTCTGGTGAGCTAAAAAAACATCACTTAATAACACCACTTAATAAAACACATTTTAATTGATCCATTTTCAGAATAAGTAACATATACATGTATGTATGATACAGTGATGTAACATTGTATTTTATTAACTTTGAATACTGTTATAAATATTAACTTACAACTTCCGGTGTCTACTTGACGTTTCCAGACTTTATATTCATCAAATGGTGAACATCTTAAAAACCTACAATATCAAATATGTCACACGGTGAGAAAAATGTTCAGCTTGACCAGGAATCAAACCTGGGACCCTCCAAATATATGGCGTCTCTACCAAATGAGGTATCAGGCCACTCACATTTTTTCGCAAATATGTTACTAGACAAGTAAGTTTGTTTGTTTGTTTGGGTTTTACGTCACACCGACACATTAAGGTCATATGGCCACGTTTCAGCTTTACTGGTGGAGGAAGACCTCAGGTGCTCTTCCGTGCATTATTTCAGGCACAATCGGGTACCTGAGTAGAACACCCGACGCTCTGTAAGCTAGCTGGATAGCTTCCTCACATGAAAGAATCCAAAGTCCCTATCGGGATAAGAACCAACAGCGGTGAGGGGCAAGTGGTTTGAAGTCAACAACCTTAACCACTCGACCATGGAGGCCCTTTATGACAAGTAAGTTAAACACTTCATTCCTATTTTAATGACTGAACAACATAATTTTTTTTACTGCTGTAAATTTTCATAATTATTTTAAACCTGCAAATTGACTATTTAAGCCACTAGATGGCGCTGGGGCAGGTTTTCATGGTATTTTTGACATGCTTCACATTTAACAGCCCTTTTTTGAAATAGTGAAATAACCAAGCAGTATTTTGCCTAAAAACTTTTTGTATAACTTCTTTGCAACATTTGAAATAAAATGGAAGAAAATTTCATGAAAAATTCACTTAAATGTACTTCATGAGAAAATTATCAGTTAAGTGTCAAAAATTTGAAAATCCCAGGACGGAGTAAATGGAGATATGAACTGCAGATTGTAAACAAATACACATGAAAATGTTTACTTTGCTGTAGAAGCTTGAAATATCACTCCAGGCATCTGTTTGTGAAGGGAGCTGATCAGTAATAACAAATGTTATTGTCTGCTATAGTGTTTGTTTACATCAGCTAAATTTAGCACAGGTATAGCATCTAAAGCATTGATTGATGGTTAGTTTATCTAATAAGCATGCCTACAAAATTCTCCCTACCAGGGCAGGGATTTTTGTGGCTTTAAAATCATAACTTTACATGAAATATCTTTGAAGTTTAACAAGAGTAAAATTAGAGTTATACCTCAGTAACGAGTACATATCTAGCAGATCATTCTGTATAGGTGTTCCTGTTAGAGCCCATCTGAAGCCTGCTCTCAGTCTACATACAGCACGTGACTGTAAACTTTTATGATTTTTGATGTTATGTCCCTCGTCTAAAATAATTCTCTCCCAGGCTATCCTCATTACATTAGGCATTAACTTCCTAGTCTTATCTTCATCCTATAATATACAAGTGTGATATATGTAACTCAATAATCACATTTCTTAGTACAAGTATTTAAAGCACAGAAAATGTGAGTGTCATAATGTTGAATATCAAAAATCACACTGCAATTTAAGAAATATGGCCTTTACTTTAACAAAAGACAGTGGCTTTCAAAGAGAGCAAACAACTGTGCAATTAACACCTGCCCTGCAAGTTGATCTTAAATTGTGGTTAGAAAAGGGGTGAATATTATCTTGTGACAGAAAGTGTCAAATAAATTGAAGGGCTTTGACTTTGATTATGAGAGCTTGACAAACAGAAATTCAACAGTATATTGACGGGCAATATGAGCAAATAAATTATAATTCAATTATGCTACAGAAGTATTAAATCTAGAGTTGATATATTACATTTAAATGATAATCCTAATATACGATAATTTCAAAAAACAAAGAGTGAGACAATGCAATCCATTCTGTTCAGTAACTACGTACAAGTTTGTTTTCCTCTCCCTCAGGCTTATCGTCAGTATCATCTTTTACAGGCTGTTCACCATTTTTATCATTGTCATCTACCTCCACTTCTTTAGCTATTATATTGTATGTTGTTAACACTACATCATAACTTGCCAACCTATATTTTGATAAAATAATACATTCATGTAATAAACTATGTAGTAATACATTCATGTAATAAACTATGTAGTAATACATCCATGTAATAAACTATGTAGTAATACATTCATGTAATAAACTGTGTAGTAATACATTCATGTAATAAACTGTGTAGTAATACATTCATGTAATAAACTGTGTAGTAATACATCCATGTAATAAACTGTGTAGTAATACATCCATGTAATAAACTATGTAGTAATACATTCATGTCATAAACTATGTAGTAATACATTCATGTAATAAACTGTGTAGTAATACATTCATGTCATAAACTATGTAGTAATACATTCATGTCATAAACTATGTAGTAATACATTCATGTCATAAACTGTGTAGTAATACATTCATGTCATAAACTATGTAGTAATACATTCATGTAATAAACTGTGTAGTAATACATCCATGTCATAAACTATGTAGTAGTACATCCATGTCATAAACTATGTAGTAATACATCCATGTCATAAACTATGTAGTAATACATCCATGTCATAAACTATGTAGTCATACATTCATGTCATAAACTATGTAGTAATACATCCATGTCATAAACTATGTAGTAATACATCCATGTCATAAACTATGTAGTAATACATCCATGTCATAAACTATGTAGTAGTACATCCATGACATAAACTATGTAGTTATACATTTATGTAATAAACTATGTAGTAGTACATTAATATAATAAACTATGTAGTAATGCATTAATGTCATAAACTATGTAGTAATACATTCATGTAATAAACTATGTAGTAGTACATCCATGACATAAACTATGTAGTTATACATTCATGTAATAAACTATGCAGTAATACATTCATGTCATAAACTATGTAGTCATACATTCATGTCATAAACTATGTAGTAATACATCCATGTAATAAACTATGTAGTAGTACATCCATGACATAAACTATGTAGTTATACATTCATGTAATAAACTATGTAGTAATACATTCATGTCATAAACTATGTAGTCATACATTCAAGTCATAAACTATGTAGTAATACATCCATGTCATAAACTATGTAGTAATACATCCATGTCATAAACTATGTAGTAGTACATCCATGACATAAACTATGTAGTTATACATTCATGTAATAAACTATGTAGTAATACATTTATGTCATAAACTATGTAGTAATACATCCATGTCATAAACTATGTAGTAGTACATCCATGACATAAACTATGTAGTTATACATTCATGTAATAAACTATGTAGTAGTACATTAATATAATAAACTATGTAGTAATGCATTAATGTCATAAACTATGTAGTAATACATTCATGTAATAAACTATGTAGTAGTACATCCATGACATAAACTATGTAGTTATACATTCATGTAATAAACTATGTAGTAGTACATTAATATAATAAACTATGTAGTAGTACATTAATATAATAAACTATGTAGTAATACATTCATGTCATAAACTATGTAGTAATACATTCATGTAATAAACTATGTAGTAATACATTCATGTAATAAACTATGTAGTAGTACATTCATGTAATAAACTATGTAGTAGTACATTCATGTAATAAACTATGTAGTGATACATTCATGTAATAAACTATGTAGTAATACATTCATGTAATAAACTATGTAGTATTACATTCATGTATTTTTTTGTTTGTTTTATTGGGTTTTATGCCACATGACACAGGTCATATGGCGATGTTCAAGCTATACTGGTGGAGGAAGACCTCAGGTGCCCTTAAGTGCATTATTTCAGGTACAAACTGGCACCTGAATAGAAACACCAACGTAAGCTAGCTAGCTGGATAGCTTCCTCACATGAAAGAATCTAAAGTCCCTGTTAGGATTCGAACCCACAGCCGTGAGGGGTAAGTGAACATTCATGTTATAAACTGTGTAGTAGTGCTACTTTTCAGAATCCGTCTCATATTTTACATGTTATAAAATGTGAAGTTTATACATTTATAATATATTTCAAGTTATGAACATCATTTTTTACAGACAAAACATTCAACAGATTCAACAATAAAAATACTAAGAATAACAACTATAATAATTATAAACTTCATTCTATGTGGACTATTATTGCTTTATAAAAGGGTACTTTTAAAATAACAAATAAACTGTCTATATCACTTGCCCTCAATTGTTGATTCCTGCCATGAATATCAATTTATGAATAATCACTATCAGCTGAATGCTGACATTAAATTTGGCTGCCAGGGAGCTATTTTTATCAAAATGTACAATTTAATTTAATTAATGGCATTTATATATTAAGACAAGCTTGAATGTAACAAACACCCAGTATGACACTTTTTATAGACTTATTCAATATAATTATATTGGAACCATGGTAATTTATTTGAGTACATTAGATTACCTGTTAGGACCATGTTAACTTACAGCGGTGCATGGTAACTTACTTGAGTACATTAGATTCCCTGTTAGGACTGACCATGGTAACTTACTTGAGTACATTAGATTCCCAGGTAGGACTGATAATGGCAACTTACTTGAGTACATTAGATTCTCTGTTAGGACTGACAATGACAACTTACTTGAGTACATTAGATTCCCAGGTAGGACTGATAATGGCAACTTACTTGAGTACATTAGATTCCCTGTTAGGACTGACCATGGTAACTTACTTGAGTACATTAGATTCCCTGTTAGGACCATGGTAGAGACAGACGCGTAGAAGACCTGGCTTACATCGTCTCTCTATTTCTGTCCTCCATTGATGTATTAATGATGCTGGACATATCACAAGAGTTGCATTCGATTTCACAACTGATTTACCCACTGAAATTAACAACCAGTATAAATTAGATTTTATTCCTTATCTTACCAATGGGTGACTTAGCTTATATGTCATGGTTTGGAAGTGTTCAATATTTTGGGGAGATGATTAAGCAGCCTGAAAGCTCAGTTTGAAGAGCCACAGAACTGTATTCCAAGGGTCCCAGGTTTGAGCCAAGGTAAGGCTGCACATTTATCTCAACCTGTGACATTGATACTCAAAGGAAGACTGTGAATGCATATCGCTCAGAATTAAACTCTTTTTGCTCTGTAACCCTGAGAAATTTGAATATAGTAGGAGAGTATGTCACAGTTAGAGCTGTTCACTATTTTGGGGATAAGATGTTAAAGTAGCTGTAAAGCTTAGTTGGAAAAGCCACGGAACGGTATTCGTACGGTCCCAGGTTCATGTTCCAGCCTGGCTGCTTATTTTTCTTATCCTGTGACATATGTATGTAATGTGTTGTTTTTTTTTATTTGGGTTTTACGTCACACCAACACAGTATAGGTCATTTGGCGACGTTCCAGCTTTACTGGTGGAGGAAGACCTCAGGTGCCCCTAAGTGCATTTTTCAGGCACGAACGGGCACCTGAGTAGAACCACTGACGTTCCGTAAGCTAGCTGGATAGCTTCCTCACATGAAAGAATCCAAAGTCCCTATCGGGATTCGAACCCACTTCGATGAGGCGCAAGTGGTATGTATGTAATGTACAGAATTTTCAATAAGACATCTCATTCTACCTTAGTGAACAGAGTAAAGCTCCTTGGCTAGTACTAACTTTAATTAGTGCTTACAAATATAAAGAACATAAACATGAACTTATCATGTACATACATTTTTCCAGCTGTTTATCTCTATTCAACCACACTTGTTTATCTTCCTCACTACCACCTTTCCGTAACTCCTTCTGTTTTATTATCAGTGAAATCATAGTCAGTGTTTTACCTAGACCCATATCATCAGCTGTAATAATATATAAAACAGGAATGTTTATGTCTTCAACTGTTACTCTTTCATGACAATAGCTCAGTAAGAGGGTCAGTTACCTTATATATAAAATATGCATTACTGAATAAAATCTCTTCAATGTGTACCATTGTTACATATATCTCACCAAATCTCATTAAAGGACATACTTTCTTTTTGTGATGTGTAAATGTAACTAATTTGTCTCTCTTCATGATGTAATTGGTGGTACACTGCCACCATGTAATAACACACCCTGTTATAACCTTAATCTTAGTACAACTCTCATAGACATTATCTCCAAAAAATAAAATGCACTTTTCGCTGATCATAATCCCCCCCCCCCCCCCAATAAATATTGATCATGCACCATGTCAGCTATAACACTTATTCAATAAGACAGTTTAATACAATAAACAATTGTAATAAGGACACTCATGAGTGCAAAAGGTTTGAAAAACATGCACAGGTTAGCATTAAACCTCTCTTTGTTTTAACAGGTATCAAATGTTATAACAATCTCAAATTCCTAGCTGTGATACGCAAACACCGATGAATTGAGTAAACCACACAAGCTGAAAATCAATTAAGAACCGAAAGTTATACATGGCGTTTGATTACCTAAGGGACACAACTAAAGCTGGAAGATTTTACTACAACTATACTAGCTTTATTTCATGCTATCCAGTGTTTTATTGAAATATATCAGATGATTATATTTTGATAAACCACTAGTGAAATTTATAAAATATAATTTTCACTGTAGCCGGACTATATCTGAATGCGGATGAAACGAAAATCAGAACTAAATGGAATGAAAGGCAGATAAATGCTGTTGTACGTAATTTTGCTTCTCTAGGAAAAGAAAATCGATCTCAACATACATCATGTTAAAAATGTATCAAAATTAGATCAATTTAACAGCACTACATTTCAAAATTGATGATGTGACGTCATGATGTGGTGACGTCACAAAGGAGAATGCACGACATTATGCGGCAAAATCAGTAAGAAAATACTTAAAATCACTTAAAAAGCATGAAATAAAAAGAACATTTATTTGATTTGTATATAAGATTGAAATATATTTCATTCGTGAACACCAGCTATTCTATTTTCACTTGTGGCTACACCACTCATAAAAATATTGCATCTGGTGTTCACTCAGTGAAATTATATTTCAATCTTACATGCAAAACAAACAAATATCCTCTATATCTGTGTTTTCATTTGTGATTTATATTTTTCTTTAAAAAATATTTCTGTTTCTTTTAAACATATTATTAAGTAATATTTTACAAAATAATATATGTTTACACTATTAAATTGTTTTAGAAAGCAAATTTGCCGATATTCATTGACTGGAATATAAAGTCATTAGCATTGTATGTATTAGCATCGGTGGGTTAATGTGGTAATTTGCAATGAGCATTGTATATCAGAACCAGTTATAATACGGTGTTGAGACCTTGGACCCCAACATTATTTGCAGTGCATAATTTAAAAATTTAACATATAATTCCCTATATGTTAACTGATGTAGTTAAGAGAATATATAGAGGATATTTGTTTAGTTCAGTGTAAGATCGGAATATATTTCACCGAGTGAGCACCAAAAGGTATATTTCACGAGTGGCGCAGCCACGAGTGAAATATGAACTTTTGGTGTTCACAAGGTGAAATATATTTCGATCTTACACTAAACTAAACAAATTTTCTTTTTATTATATGCAAAGAAACGTTTTAAAAGACATTTAACCTAATACTGAATGATAAGCGCGCCAAATAATAATACAACGTGACGTCATTTACGACGTCACGTCATTAAGTTGGTACCCAGTTCTGTGCACGCTGGTATTTCACTGAAACAACGTAAGGGGCTTAAATTCAAAACAGTGAAATTATCAAAGTGGTAATTTCACTGTTTCAAACAGTGAAATTACCAGTTTTATATCACTGATATATTTCTATAAACCACCGAAAAGCATGTAATAAAAGATAATGTCTCTGTAGAACATATTTTTCTTATATAAATTCCTATCAAAAGGGATAAAACATTCAAGTGAAATCAGAATACCATAAAACTTTAAGAGTAGAAGTATTTTCTGATGATGAATTAAATAAAACAATGAATATAAATTATAATGTACAGTATGGGATACATATGAACAGATTTTATCAAATAATTTCTACATTTTTTGTCTATAACTGAACAATTAAAGAATTGTATACATGTTATTAAACTAGAAAGTCTAGAAGGGAGCTGGTCAAGAATTTTCTATTTTTAGCTCTAGCGGCCATTTTGTGCATCAAAACGAGATGTAAATGTAAAGACAGGTGCTAGTTACCAAGTATACCACCAGAGGGAGTTTGTCTTTCTCTCCACACTAACCACATCAATGCCTGTCTCTGGTGAGTCATTAATGGTACAACTACACCTCGAGGATCTTCTAACTCTTCTGTTGATTTAGGACAAGTCTCCAACTGTCTGTAATAATGTCATCAGTAATATTATAATACTATCATAGCAGTTAAACTGTCAGAATTGATGAAATGAGGGAAATGTAATAAGTAACTAATGTGTAATATTATTACTAATATATCAATCAAAAGTTTTCCCAATTCTGTCTCAGAAGGATAAGGATATAAGTCAAAAGTAAGAAAAATAACCTGTATATAACGTGAAATCAATGTGCTTACAACGTCTATTTATATACAGATGGACAATAGTCTACTATTATAAAGACTTTTAAAGTGATATGATGCCCATTGAAGTGTAAATAATGTGAGTACAGGTAAAATTTTAAATTTGCTGTAATTGTTTTAGATTTTGTATTCTGCTTCACAAAATATCATTTGTTATTATTAATTTTTGGTCAATGACCATTTTAATAGTCAATCTTTTGAAATGTATAACTAATTAAGCTCCACTTAACAAAGAAAATAATGAGCATGTCACTACTAAAATTTGATCAAACATGAAACTTGCTTCTAATACAATATTCTGATCATAATTGGGAAAATTTCCTCAAACATAAACTACAATATTCTAATGATAAGATCACATTGTAGTTGTTGATAACTATCACATTTCAATTGAAGTACCTTGTGGTCATACTTTTATGATTCATAAAAAAACAACATAAAATGTGTTGATGATTTTTTATCATTTTATAGATGTATGTAAAGTCAGACATACAAACTGACAAATTTTTAAGTTAATATAGTTTCTAGTTAGTTTTCACAACAAATCAATTTTATATTTTTGTAATATTCTCAATGTTTTTTGTTATGGTTAAGTATAAAAGTGAAGTCCTACTTGTGCAATCTTTCAATAGCTTCCTTTGTTACACTGCCAACTTCTCTCAACCTAGCTGCTGTCATCCTACCCCCATATAACTGCATTGCCTGGGGATTAGCTAAAATATAAACCATATAACTGCATTGCCTGGGGATTAGCTGAAATATAAACTGTATAACTGCATTGCCTGGGGATAAGCTGAAATATAAACCATATAACTGCATTACCTGGGGAGAAGCTGAAATATAAACCATATAACTGCATTACCTGGGGATTAGCTGAAATATAAACCATATAACTGCATTACCTGGGATAAGCTGAAATATAAACTGTACAACTGCATTGCCTGGGGATTAGCTGAAATATAAACCATATAACTGCATTGCCTGGGGAGAAGCTGAAATATAAACTGTACAACTGCAATACCTGGGGATTAGCTGAAATATAAATCAAATAACTGATTACCTGGGGATTAGCTGAAATATAAACCATATAACTGCATTACCTGGGGATAAGCTGAAATATAAACTGTATAACTGCATTGCCTGGGGATTAGCTGAAATATAAACTGTAAAACTGCATTGCCTGGGGATTAGCTGAAATATAAACCATATAACAGCATTGCCTGGGGATTAGCTGAAATATAAATCATATAACTGCATTGCCTGGGGATTAGCTGAAATATAAATCAAATAACTGCATTGCCTGGGGATTAGCTGAAATATAAACCATATAACTGCATTGCCTGGGGAGAAGCTGAAATATAAACTGTACAACTGCATTACCTGGGGATTAGCTGAAATATAAATCAAATAACTGCATTACCTGGGGATTAGCTGAAATATAAACCATATAACTGCATTGCCTGGGGATAAGCTGAAATATAAACTGTACAACTGCATTGCCTGGGATTAGCTGAAATATAAACCATATAACTGCATTGCCTGGGGAGAAGCTAAAATATAAACTGTACAATTACATTACCTCGGGATTAGCTGAGATATAAACCATATAACTGCATTACCTGGGGATTAGCTGAAATATAAATCAAATAACTGCATTACCTGGGGATTAGCTGAAATATAAACCATATAACTGCATTACCTGGGGATAAGCTGAAATATAAATCATACAACTGCATTGCCTGGGGATTAGCTGAAATATAAACCATATAACTGCATTGCCTGGGGATTAGCTGAAATATAAATCATATAACTGCATTACCTGGGGATAAGCTGAAATATAAACTGTACAACTGCATTGCCTGGGGATTAGCTGAAATATAAACCATATAACTGCATTACCTGGGGATAAGCTGAAATATAAACCATATAACTGCATTACCTGGGGATTAGCTGAAATATAAACTGTACAACTGCATTACCTGGGGATTAGCTGAAATATAAATCAAATAACTGCATTGCCTGGGGATTAGCTGAAATATAAACCATATAACAGCATTGCCGGGGGATTAGCTGAAATATAAACCATATAACAGCATTGCCTTGGGATTAGCTGAAATATAAATCATATAACTGCATTGCCTGAGGATTAGCTGAAATATAAATCTCACATTGTATATATTCTGTACTTACAATCTTGATTTATGGAAAAAAATAAAAATTGGGCTCTTCCAGTAAAATCCATGCATTTGTGTTTGTTTGTTTGATAAATAAAACTTTGAATTGAATTTAACTGAAATACATGTACATGGGGACTTGCTGACAAAATGGAAACTGTATTAGGATAAACTTATCATGTTAGATACACATTAATTCAAGTAATCAGATTTACAAGGAGAAATTTACCTTATCAGTAATTCTTTATATACAAATAATTGCCTGATACCTAACCCTCTAAATAAATAACTTTATTAAAATTATTAACAGTGAAGGGTTGAGAAATTTAGACATAATGCCCTTGACTATAAGTTACCTCAAAACATGTGACTATCGTATCATAAGTTTCAAAACCTCCTACAAATAACTAAACACTTCAAAAACTAGAAGCCATTCCCGTAAAGCCTGCTAGAATATTGTTATGAATACATATTACTTACATGATGGCATGTTAACAAGTTAACCTCATTATGTTTATATGAACAGAACAGAATTATATTCTCACCTGCATACATCTGTTGTAAAATATGAGGTGGTATTTGAGCTACATGTGGTAACAAACTTGTCTGTTTCAGGTTGTCAGGATTGTGTGCTTGGTAGTTTCCTGTAATAATGTTAAACAATATATGTAATTATAAATGTACGGCAAAATCTCATATCATAATGATATTGTAAATTAATATATTGTTATTCTACACTATTTGGATATACATGAATAACCAAACCGCACCATAACAAAACCAACATAATGATTTTGCGACCAGCATGGATCCAGACCAGCCTGCGCATACCCGCAGTCTGATCAGGATCCATGCTGTTCGCTTACAAACCCTATAACAAGTAAAGAAACTGATAGCGAACAACATGGATCCTGATCAGACTGCGCGGAGACGCAGACTGGTCTGTCTCCATGCTGGTTGCAAACCCATTATGTTAGTTTTGTCATGGCGCAGCTCAGTCATTCATTATGATACTGCATGTTTATAACATTGCTTTACATCGGATTATCATGACATTTATATAGTTTAATATATACGGCTGCTGTCAATTTATGAAGAAATCTCACTTTTTTCTTTAAAAAAGAAGTTTGCAGTATTATAGATTTGTTACATTCTCAATAATGTATATAGGGCCATAGAACCTGTCAAAAATTTTATAACTAATATAGTCAAATTGTTCTCTAGAACTCCCTTACAGATTAACATATACAGAGCAGCATCAATGGTTTATATAATGTAGACCTACATTTCAGTGACTAACAGCAAATTTTTTCATATTTCCTAAATATCTAGAAACAATATGACAAATGTATCTTAACCTTAATCAATGTTCCCACACAGAATATGTTTACAGTTAATACCTTGTTGTTGAACAACTGATGAACCATTGGGAAATATTTTGATCACTTGAGGCTGGCTTGATGGTTGGGAATGACTCACCTGCTCTGAAGAAATATTATGTGTCTTATATATTTATACTGGTAACTGTTAATATCTTTCTTTATGTTCTTATTCTTGTTCTCAAACCATGGCAGCACAATTATGGAGGCAGTATTACCTAAAATTGCATCACTGGGGATCTGTGCCACCAATTCAGCCTTTATTTTCTCACTCTGTTTTAGATGATTTTCCTACTTTAGCTTTATAAGCTAGATAACATTTTCTTTACGGTACACATTATGCATGTTAGAAAAATGGGTATCAATTAACAAAATTGTTAAGACTAAAGTGCATGACAGAGTTAATTTGATTTCATTATAGGAAATTACAGATACAAACAAAACTTTTAAATGGTAATATATCTGCAAAATCTATATCTTGAGTCCTAGTGGTATTAGTAGTAAGGAAAAACAAAAATATCCTCATCTTCCCCAGCGTTTTTTTTCTCTACTTTAGGAATGGTGCCGGTACTGCACTTTTTCAGCTACAAATAAGATTAGTCATCATGGATAAGGATAGCTAACAGCTTCTACTGTCCAGATAGAACTATTGAGTGGTGATTTATATGAATATGTTGGATTTAAATGATTTTAGAAAAATCACTGGCATTGTGGGAATTTTGAACAGCCATTTTGGGAATTTAATAAACACCGGAAATTGGGAATTTAGTGTCTATTTTCTATTGGGAACAGTACCGTTTTAGGGTAGTAGTTATATAAAGGAAAAAAACACTGTTCCTAGATATCCCCATCTTCCTCAAGTAGTAGTGGTACTAGATACAAGCTATTTTATGTCATTATGTGTTAAACTGTCAAAGGCAAATCTTAACTTTAATATTATTTGTTTCCCTTAATTTTTTACAAATAAGTTGTTACCTTGTTTAATTACAGTACCATCTGGACGGATCATGATAACTTTTGGTTGAGATACACCCTGTGTGTGGGCAATTTGTTGCCGACTTGTACTCTGTTGTTCAGTCTGCTTTCTGTTTAATACTACAAAATAATGTTATATATATGTTACATAGTGTGAATGATGGAGGTCAATTTTCCTTGAAAAAGAAAAGAATTCAAACATTAAACGTTTATTGAAAAAAAAAAAACATTTATTGAAAAGAATATTAAACCCATATGCGAAAAGCAGGATGCCTTTAGTCTCAGTAAGTATACAATTTCTATATAATTATTACACAAGATGAATTGCTTTCCTGAAGAAGCAAGAAGTATGGCCTTACAGTGAGGGCTTTTTCTCTCTAGCAAATAAATTGCACAGGCAACATTGAGTGTTTTACTACATCATGTTATATCAAAGATAATTTTCACAATTATTTTCTGATTTCTTATATCTCACAAGATCTCTGTCATAGGAACCATTAAAATAGATAACAAGTTATCTGTTCTCAATGGAACATTCCCCCTCGCCCCCCTATGACTACACAGAGATATCTGTATGTAACATATAATGGAGATACATACCGGGATTCATATACTAGTGACATTAATCTTATAAGTTATATACTTACTCTCTACATTCTGTTTGATCTTTATTGTCAAATCTGCAATATTCCTCGTTATGCTGTTTACATTTTCACGTAATTTTTCTCCTCTGTCTGGTAACTGGGACATATTCACTGTAGCTATTATAGTCTGAAATATATATCCTTCTTGTTTATTTTTGTAATTTACATGTATTGATTTGTCCTCACTGTTAATGAGTTTAAATTTACAGGAAATTATCCTGGTATGAGAAACAACAGAAAATTCTTTTCTAGTTTTTACACTTTCACTAGCTACAAGTCCTGCCTCACTGATAGTGCGACTTATTTGCCAACAAAATGGGTATACATGTTATTGGGCTATCCTGAATTTAATATTCTATAAATAGATTTACAAAGTAAAAAGAGACTTTAAAGAAAATGAGAAAGTTAAAATCTTTGAAAACTTTTGCCCATTCATCCATATGTTATAACAACAGTTCCTATATATATTTTTTAATCTCTGGCTTTAAGGTTCTGGCAATGAAAAGGTGAAAATATAATTGATCAATTATCTACCTGTATTATGGACATTCTCTCATGAAGTTTTTCACTATGACCTAGTCACTTGTAATTCATAGTAAGTTTTTTTGTTGATGCCAGTTTTGTTTTTATAAAAGTTATTAAAACTGTAATTAAGAACCTGTAAATGACAATAAATCTTGTACAGAAAAATGAAAAATAAAATGTCTTCCTATAAATATAATTCTTCACCTTTTGTTTTTCTAGAAGTCTGGACAGTTCATTCCTTCTTGCAATATCAGCTTTAACTTGTTGTTCTAACTGTGCAGTTCCTGGCTTGAAGCCATGTGATTGAGCTGAATCTCTTGCCTGAGTCCACTGCTGGGAGTTCTGTGGTACAGATATAACATCTGGTGCCGGTTGTTTGTTAAGAGCTTGAAATGATTGTAGCTGCTGCTTCATTCCCATACCAAACATTTCACCAACATTATCTGGTTTCTTTTTGTCTTGATTCTTTGTTTCTGTATGTACTAAGCCATGAGTTGCAGATTTGACTGGTACTGGACTTTCCTCGTCAGAGGTAAGATCAATAATTTCTGGGGAACCAGTCACAACTTTCTCCTTACTTACTGGTTTTATAGTACCAGGCTGGTTAATTTTTTCAGATATACCAGATTTTATATCTTTCTCTGTCACAGTTTGAGGACCACCAGACTTTATTCTTACTCGCTCTGACAATGATAAATCAAATTTTCCATTATTGTCATTAACATGTGGAGCATTTGATTTATTTTCAGCTTTCAATGTTAAAGAACTGTCAGATTTTTCAGATCTCATCTTTCTAACATCATTTTCAGTAGCTTTGGTCAAACTTACAGATTTTTTCAACTTTAATTTATTGGTTGGCTTTTGAGAGCCTTGTTCTTCAACAACTCCAATTTCTTTTTCTTTTTTATTACCAACAAGCTCTCCAGATTTTTCATCAAGAAAGAAATCTGTCTGATCAATACTCATATTAGCCAGGTCTATACTAACATCAGCTACCTCATCTATACTCATTGCCCTCTCATCTCTAATACTAGCATTAGCTAACATAGCAATCTCAGATACTTGTTTATCACCTCTACTCTCTAGTCCCTTTTCAATTGCTTTACTAAGATCATCCTCTGGTTTCCCAGGGCTTTTAGACTTGGAACGTTCACGATATTCTTTTAGCGTAAGTTTCTGTTTTGGTTTTTCTGATTCCATTGTTGATTTGAAATCTTTGTTGCTAGTATTATATCTAGAGTTAGATGACTGCATATAATTTAAATCTTTCAACGGCTGATGATTCTTTGACTGAAAACATAAATTTATTCATAACATTAAACATGTATATATCAAATAGTTTAAAACAAGTAATCAAACATGGAACTTTCAATACAAGAAATTTAACTTAGACATGTGACCATAGGACATGTACTAGCAGATGTGCACCCTTGCAAGTCCTAACTGTTGAACATGGGCTTTAAGTTGGCTTATATTAACTTTTTTTTCCTGGTATTTTGAAGTTTTGTCACAATTCTATCATGTACTACTGAATTTGGCTCAACTATGTACAGGATGAGTACTGATAATTATGTGAGAAATGGAAAATAAACTTCATTAATACTTGTTTGTTTGATTTGGTTTTAAGTCACACCAACACAGAATAGGTCAAATGGCGACGTTCAAGCTTTACTGGTGGAGGAAGACGCCCTTCAGTGGATTATTTCAGGCATGAACGGGCACCTGAGTAGAACCACTGTTTCGTAAGCTAGCTGGATAGCTTCCTCACATGAACGAATCCAGTCCTGTTGGAATTTGAACCCACAGCGGTGAGGGCCAAGTGGTTTGAAGTCAACGACCTTAACCACTCGGCAACGGACACCCCCATTAATTATTAAATTAATAATATATAAGAAATACACTAAGTTGAAGTAAGTTCTATTCGAGGCTGTGACCTTTGATATAATTATAACGGTGTGGGTTTTTTTTATAAATAATTTTAAGCATTTAAGTGGAATTTTATTTAATCACCCTTATCAGCTGTTCTGGTACTTTAGTTCTTCTTTCTGAATCCATTACTGTCAATCAAAATTCTCAACACAGGTCTACCAGATCGCATTCCAGCTGAAAAAATAATAGCAATATGTTATTAAATATCAGTGTACAAAGGTTTCTACGAAATAAGAAGACTTGCACTAAAATGATTAGAATTTCCCTCATCCCTTGACAATCACCACAATAAAGGCAAAATGCCCAAACCATTTTAAATTAATATGTTGTTATGATCATAAGGGTAGGGACCCTACAAAAAAATATGCACAGCCATACCATTTTTTAGGTCAGTCAAAAAAAATTGTTGCACTTCGCCAAAGATGTCATTTGAAGAGGTAGAAATGATGTTCTTGTGCCATCCAGTGACATTATCAAAGGTTTTCATGTCAATATTTCTGTCATCAAATTTAGCACTGGCCCGGAGGCCCATGACCAATGAAAATTAGTTTGGGCCAGTGAATATTTCAAGAAAATTTACTTAAATATAACTAGTAAAATAAATTCAAAACTTGAATTCTGGCTAGTATATATATTCAAAACATTAAATTCATTGACTGATATCTGACAAGGGCCCTTGGACGATTCTCAACGAGGACAATTTGTATGATGTTCCGATACTTCAAACCTTGAAGAAATATTCTGGTTTCACATATTTTAGAATTTATAAGGTATAATAATTTTTTTGTGTCAAATCAACCCTTTCTGGCAATTTGTTCCATGATTGAACAATTTTAATGGAGAAAAGGTTTCTACATTGTTTAAGTCCCTTGTTTAGCAGTGTCTATTCTATGAGGGGGATTGGGGGACGGTTCAGCTTCCAGAAAAATCTTTCCGAATTAATTCAGGGATTGAAAATTCCACTTGTCCGCTCGTATTTACGAGTAGACAAGAACAAAATCATTGTATGCTCGTCCAACAGGGTGAGTGGAAATTCAAAGAGAGCTACAATTCTCAAAATGAATTTGTTTACATTTAACGACAGAAAACCTGAAACACAGCTTGTGTTTGAAAAGAATTTTCGATTGCTGTTAATTGAATATTTTCCATTTATTATTAAGCTTTAACGGCCAATTTGTGGCCAAATGGGTGAACTGATGATGAGTAAAGATAAATTATACCTAATACAACCAATGCCATATTGAAAAGTACCATTCTGCAGAAATTATTGAAAAGTGTTTGTGAACCTTATTAAAACTAGCAAATTTAGCTGACGTCACAGTCACACAATCACTTAAATGAAAGTGAAAGTAGGGCTGTAGAAATTGTTTAATTGTCGGAAGTAATTTCATGTTTTGGGTATTTAATTGTAAAGCATAGAATCTTTTGAATTAAATGCAGAATGAATATCAGTCTAGTATCTAAAAACGGTAGCACTGCGAGATTTTTACAAACACATCGCGAAAACTGCAAACTATTTGCATGCAAAATAATCTTCGACGAATATTTTTACACCTTTATATATAAAAAAAGAAGACATGTTTAGTTCTACAGGAAAACATGCATTTTTAATAATTTACGCTCAAACATCTTATGTTTTTAAAAATTACCCTAATTCAACAAATTTGAATATCGCGGCCACAGCCAAAGAGTCCAAAGAAACCTAAAGATAATCAATCACGCGTTATTGCTTCAAAAAGCGGCAAGTACAAAAGGGGTGAGGTATGGTGAACTTGGAGTTACTCCGATATCTTTGCAAATAAAAAGTAGAATTATTAACTTCTGGTGTAAGCTTTTGAATGGTAAAGGTGATAATATATAGAGGATATTTGTTTGTTTGTGTGTAAGATGAAATTTTATTTCATCGAGTGGGCTTTAAAAACAACATTCTCACGTGTGGCGTTGTTGTACTGTACACAACAAACATATTTTCTTTTTATTTTATGCTTAAAAACAAGTTAAAACGAAATTTCCAGAATATTAGCGTTATTATAAAAATCTGTTTTCCCCATTGAGAGCCTCATTTAGTCAGTATTTCTCACAAAATAGTGAGCTGAAAAATAAGTTCGACAATCAACATTAAATAACGGCGATATTATTCATTTTATTAAAAAAATATGAATGGTCGCTTGTTATAATAATATTTAAAAACAAACTATTCAATCCAACCATCCATCCATATATTTCTGTTACTTACTGCGAATTTATATTAGACCAGGCTTTGTTAAATGTATAAGCGGCAGCCATTTTTTAAATAAAGCATCCATCCATCCATATATTTCTGTTACTTACTGCGAATTTATATTAGACCAGGCTTTGTTAAATGTATAAGCGGCAGCCATTTTTTAAATAAAGCATACAGTACGGCAGTTATTGCTCGTAGGTTACTTTAATATGCCCAAATGTCATCAAGAGCAGTTTTGCATGTGGAAGGAATGCCTTTTTCAGACTGTAAAAATGAAACAAAAAATTAGAGACGAAATTTTGTGATTGGAATTTGATTTATGAATAGATTTAAGTTGTCTCCTTTTTATTACTTTTGACATTTAAGTTGTTTATCAATTTCAGCTTTGCCTTTTCTTTAAACAGCCTGACATTGTCAAAATTGTCAGCAAAAATAAAATTGAGGTACCATATGGGGAAAATCTTAAAAAATTATTTTCGTCTTTGAAAAGTGTGAAATTATATTTTGATAATTTTCACTGTGAAATTATCAAATGTAATTTTCACGGATAAATCAGTAATCCACTGAAAAGCATAAAATAAATTTGTAATAATTTATAAAAAAAAAATATATAATAAACAAGGAAAGGCGGCGTTCAAGACTGCATACTCAGTATAGAACTGAATTACCGTGGCTTTCTTTAATTTGTTAAGGATTCTTTTATCAATTATCTTGAAATCTTGGTATAAAACCCGGCGCCTCTCAATAAAACTGAAGAAAAACACGACGCCCCATCTAACTTTTTTTCATTTCTTAATCATTTTAATAAAGTTTGGTAATAAATAAAAGATTACTTAATATTTTACTTATATTAACAAATATCTTTCTTAAAATAAGTGGTATTTTACAAATTAAAGAAATCTCCCTATTTTTGATGTCAGAGTTAATTTCCTTCTTTGCTTATTGCAAATTCTAAAATCTCCCTTTCTTTGTAGAGACATCTCCTACTTGATCATCAAAAAGGTTTACATGTATGTGTTACAAGTTCAGAATTTGTACTTTATGTCATATGCTTTTAAGGAGCATGGCAGTATTGAATAAATCGTATAAAATCTAATAAATCTTACAAAAATCTTATAAATCAAATCCCAGACACTTAACCGTCAAATTTTGAAAACAATTCACTCTTCAAGACACTTCTCTGTACCACCGCTCATGCAACAGAACCTTTAAATGTCAGTGATTTGATGTTGATCGTATAGTGTAGTTACTGTACTGTGATGTTTATCCCTTTTTTGACCTTTTGCGCAACATTGTAATCTCTCGTCATATCTTAGAGTGCCAGTTGAACTATTCTTTATCAGCTGCATTTGCATTTGGTTTATTTAACTTGTTTTGATGATATTTATAGTTCCACGGTTGCTTCTCATCTTGTTACATTTCGAAGTCGTCTGTTTTTATTTCTTCCCTTTTCTACTTGCTTCACAGTACCGTGAGAAATTTAGTTTCAATTCACCCTTTTAGGTTGTGTTTTAATAACTTTCTTTCCTATCTTATTTTAATTGTTTTCTATTTGCATGCATTTGCAAGCCGGTGTATATCCTATAGCTACGTACTCAACGACTGCCACATTTTTATCAATGTAGTCAATATATCCTGCCTTAGTTCCACTAGCTCTAACACATCGACAACTGAGGTCCATGTGCCGGAGTCGTTTCAACAAAGTAGAAGAGAATAAGAGTTGTAAATGCAATTTCAATCACCACACCATGGACGTGCAACGAGTTAAGACATGTGATAATCGGTATTGATGGCATCTACTAAACGGTCTGGTTAGCATGTAGACAATAAACTTTGTCAGTAAAATTTCTTGGTGTACTCCCGATCCAAGGTAATCAATGTTACAGCTGGCGACTTTTTCCAGGCATTTTAACTGTGCGTGATAGGGACTCCACTGAGTTTTTTTGACATGATGGGACTGAAAATATTTTTTCCAGATAAATGTACCATTTGATGTAGGTTTAGACCACTAATCTTTGTGCAAAATTTCAGTTCATTCTGGCACTTCATTTTTCAAGAATAATTATTCAAATTGTAAAAAATGACCCAAAATGAAAAGCGTTTAAACGCTTTTCACTCAAATCGGGCTAAGAAAAGCATAAAAATACGATTTTGATTTATTTCAAAGAATATTTCTTAACTATCTTTGCATATATTTCTGTTTAAAGTGCCCCAGCTCAATTATGTAAGAAATTCAATTATTATATGATCTTAATATAGCTGCAAGCCCATTGGTCCAAACAGTAGTCAACAGAACTTTTTATAAAATCATATTTACTGGGTGTAGTATCATATTCACTGGCTGAATTGGATTTTCCTAGTCTAAAAATAGATTGAGACTCATATTCAATGATCATACACCGTATGCTGTTAATTACGCGTGTTAATAAAAAAAACAATTGTTGCTTTTTGTTCTTTATGGCATATTTCTCGATTAAAATATCAATACTTTACTATTATACTTAAAAGTTAAACCGCAATGATGAGTATAAACTTGAATTATTTTTGTATGCGCAGCGTTCGAGTAGTCGTTGCACGCCTAACACGTGCGTCTTTTTTTCCGCGCTTCAACGAGGCAAAATTTGTACATGTATAATTATAAGGTTGTACTTTTGTGATTTTTTTAATTTTATAAGCCTATTCATATAATAAAACAATTATTGACTAGTGAACCATTGAATATGATGTGATATTCACCGGCAGAAAGTCATATTGACCTCGGCTATCGCCTCGGTCAATATGTCATCTGCCGGTGAATATCACATCATATTCAATGGCTCACTAGTCAATAATTGTATAATGTTATGTTTTTAGGCTTTTAAACTTCAGCGGAGTCCCTAAGTCCTTGAATTTAAAACAATAACTTCTGGTCTGCCTTTCCGAAGTTATCACACTAGAAGTGAATCCTGCGACTGCAATTCTGAAACACATATTTTATTCAAAATGCACCTTATACAATGTACATGTATAGTTAAACACATGCTAGTTAGCTACAAGAAAACATGTTTAAAGTCACGTTCACCGGCCGTATTAATTAATTATTACAAACAGTTTGTGTTAATTATTTACTGCCGATATTCACTTAAATAATAATGCCGTCAAATTCGATATTATTTCTAAATGTATGCATTATATACAACGTCTGCCGGGTAACACCCTTTGGTGTTTCGTCCCAAAACCAACGGAAATCTAAAGACACAGTTATAAATTCCTTCAGACATAAGCTAATTAGCATGTGTAAAGAACATGATTTATTAATTGCAAACGGACGGTTAGAAAAGGGAGACTTTACATACCACTGTGTAAACAGGAATAGACCTGGTGCAAGTGTTGTTGACTATTTAATTACAAAATATAATAATTTCGAATATATATCAGACATGGCTGTTTTAGACATGACCGAGTTCTCGGATCATTGTCCAATTTCATTTAAAATTGTCTGTCAAAATAATGTACATAAACCATTGATGCAAAATACGAAATATGATAAATTGTTTTGGGATTCTACTAAGGCCCCCACGATTACACGTTTAAACGGGTTCGTTTCGATTTTCATTCATAAACGTTTACGATATTGTTTACCGTTTTATCGAAATGACCATATTGTCTTACAAAATTTCTTAACCATTGCCTGTAATCATGGATATTATCAATTCTAGTGGTTTATTCCAAAGTAAACAAACGGAAAATATGTGTTTACAACCCTCCACACAGCATTACGGTGCAAAATTGCTCGTGACATAATACATTTTTGGTAAAAAGGGGGTTACAATGCAACAAATGTGTGCTGACTCAATCGTGATGAGACCTGAATATTCTTTATTTGTACATGTATTAAAAATAGAAAGAAAGAAATCATTTGGCGACTTAAATACATGGTGGGTATATAGTGCATAGAGGTACCACCGTTTAAACGGTATCGTTCCGGTTCTTAGCAATCGTGTAAACGTTTACAAAAAATTGTAAACGTGGGAGCCTTAGATTCTACTAGATCACGTGACTTATTAGATGTATTAGAATCTAAGAGATCTATGTTTGTTAAAAAAAAACTAACGATATATTAAACAACCAAGGTGATTTAGATTCAAACATAACAGGTTTT